AGGGAGGAACAAAGAGAAGTTACGTCGACTACAAACCCCAGAACGGCAATATTATCTCGCAGTATACTTTAAGTAATGACCCGTAAAACTTGCACGTATGTCAGAAGCGACAATACGCACATGTATAATATATTTCATCTGGAATATCGTCCTGGATTGCATTAAAGTATGATATCCCTCGGTAGATCGTTCGAGACTATTCGCCGATCGACGAGGTCGATTTCGAGAAAAGTTTGTGGAGAAAATTCTATTCGCTCGTTTCCGCAGGGACAGGAGTGCATCGTCGGCGCATACAAGGCATTAAATATAAAATATAAAACTGTTATTCTCTCTCTCTCTCTCTCTCTCTCTCTCTCTCTCTTGCGGCGAAGATGTGGAATTGGCAACTGTGCGTATTGGGCGAAACTGGGTTTGACCCTTGACGGCCCCCATAAATATCCAACGTTGGCAGCTTGTTACTTTGCGCCACGTGAATCTCAAGTCGACCATAACGACCGATATTCTTCGGCAGCGTTCAAGACATTGTATCGACTAATCAATGCTTTTTTTATTTCTTGACTTACCCTTTTATTTTCCTTAACTTGGAGGATTCTGTAAACGCGTCTGCATGCAGAAGTAATAGTCGTACTATTTATCTCGTTACAATAACTTTCCTCGAGTGCTATTCGAGGTTCATGAATCCAAGTTCCAAGACCGTAAAAACGAAGGGTTTATCAGTCCATGAATCTCCTTATTTAAGAACGCAAAGAGTAATGAACTTAAAAATCCTTAACGAGCTAAGAAACCAAGTTCAACTTCCGCGAGTATTCCAACGGAGATCTAAGAAGAGCCAGAAGAACAACTTGGCGCTCGAATTGTTCCGATTTGAAATTTCCAAGAGTAAGGATTGCGTCAAACGAATTCAGCGAACATGGCGGGCCAATACATGGAAGAAAGCCGCTTTCTTTCTTCGTCTGCATTCCTCAGTAATTGCGTGCCTCGTTGTTGTTCCTCTTCTCTACCGCCTGTTTCCTTCGTCCGAAGAAAGGAGAGCTCGCGTTCGCTCGCGCGCGCGCTCATTCGCGCTCGCGCGCACGCCTTTTCATTTGTGCGCCCTTCTAGGATACACTTATAATAGGTGGGCCGTGCGTGGCAAACAGGGAAGAGGCCGCCGCGACGCGCCTAATCACTATAATCGTCCTCGCCAATAATTAGATTATTTTCAGTGTCTTCCCCGACGCTGTCCCTCTCTCGCCCGTGATTACCGGCCTGAACTTATCATTACATGCCCACATCGATCCTCGCTCGCCTCGGGCGCGCCCTAAGGGAATGACCGTATTTTTTTGTGCGAGACCAGGGCAATAATCTTAAGACATTTGATATTCTCAAAAAGGTAGATTGGGACATTGTAAGCTACCCTAAATACCAAGCTCTATAAATTTATTATTATACAATATAGATGGAGAAAAATGGCGGGGGAAGCGTTATTTCACTTGTTAAGAGGACAGGGATGTCTGAGATTATGGATCTTTATTTAACCAGATTCGCGGCCGAGCTAATTAAACGAATTAGTTGTAAATATTCGCAATAAATTTCCAAGAATTCTTAATACAAATTTCTCACGACGTTCTTGCGACGACAAAGCAGTCGTAATTTTCAGAGTTCCGCTACGTCGATTGGTTCTGACGCACTTCTACAAACGCGCGTTTCGGTACTTGCAGACTCGAGGGTGTTCATTATGCCACTTGAAGGTTTATTACGAGATACAAAATACTCTATTTTATTGTCGTCGACCGACTGCAGCGGAATTCTTGAACCTTCCGCGTAACGTATTATTGCCGCGGAATTGGAAGATGGAAAGCCTGAAGGCGAGTCTTGGTCATCATTACCGCAGTCCCTTTGAGGACTGACGCGCAACCTCATTTTTTTTATTAATAATAATCACAGTTGCACTTTCCAGTGCTACGGGATGATGAATATACATGTGTATCGGCCATCTCGAGGAAAATAATACATTAATAAGCAGATCTTTATGTGAATTCGCTGAGGTGATATTCCTCTACGATAGTTGAATAGTACGTAAAAATTTTCGATGCGACAATTTTCTAATACTTTTACACGTCTGATCAATGACTGATTGTGAAATTAGGAAACGTGATAGTTTAGACTGTCGAATTTATCTTTCAAAATAATACCCTCTTATTTCGACATTGAGTTTCTGAAGATTTCAAAGCGCGTCTGTATGTTCCCTCCGCTCGTAAAGAAGCGCGCGGTGAGTTAACGTCTGGAATGAAACCGTAGCGCCGATATTAATTTCGCGGGACCATGCGGGCTACCCTAACCATGCCATTTTATTGGTCTTTAAGACAACGCCCAACGATTTCGTAATACCGCCGATCCCAATGAAACAGCAATTTCCGACGATGCGATCGCGCGGCGGGCATGCAGGGGAAGACGGCGGAGGAGGACTTTTACGATCTGGCAATTCGCGAAAGAGTTCGTCAGTCCAAGAAATATTTAAATTCAATTCGAACGTAGATTCGCTGTAAACCGCTCGACAGATCGAAGGGGGGGGGGGGAATCCTTCTCGGTATAGAGAGGAAAGGATTGAACATAACGTTCTCCTTCTTGCGCGCCATGTTTTTAAATTAATTTTGTCCTATTTTGTATTCAACGTCATTTTGAAATTTTATTTTCATACGCGGTAGCCATACGTTCAATTAACGTCTAAAATTAAAAAATGTGGTGGATGGCCTTGAAACGTTTGAGAGGCAAGCCACCGAGGGGTTGGATGTCATCCACCGGAATGTAACATTCCACCCCCGCCGACTGCGAGGATCGCCATTAATCCTTAGGCTGACTTTCTTTCCGCTCGCTGTCGTACAGAACGGGGCGTCCTCGTTATCGACGCTTATCGCTAATAAGATCGCTGGACCGCTCGTTATCGTCGTCGTCGCACTCGCCCTGTCCTCATTTTCGTACGATTGCGATCGTTAATTATCCCTATCGCAGCCGATCGCCCTCCGCCGTTCTCCTCCTTCGCCTTCCCCCACCCACCCATCCACCCACGCGCTTTCGTCGTTCTCCTCGTCATTATCATTCCGGTAATTACCGGTGTATTCCCTCGTTATCATCTTGTTATCGTTTGGCTATCGCGCTTCCGCGAGAAGTACGGCCAACGTCTCCGGAGAGGTCAGGCCTCGTAAGCGTGGGAGCGAGTTGATAACGAACGACGGGGAGCATCGGCGTCTGCACTTGAAGTCACAAGTCGACAGGCGAATCGGACACTCGAATCCGATATTTTAATGATACCGATTTGATAGATTTTGGTAAACGCTCTCGTCGTTATATTTTCGATTTACTCGTCGACAATGACAATCTCACGGCTTTCCGTACACCGATATGATCTGGTTTGAGATCTTAACGTGTCGCGATCCGCAATCATTTCGATTTACGATCGTTTAATCATCGACGTGATAATTCGCGTCTTCAGCTGAAATCGCGACTTGTGAACGGAGCGCGCCGTGCGACACGCGCGCGGCACCTAAGTAACCGCATTAAGAAGAAGCCGACACGCAGAAACGCGGAGCGGGCGAGTCCGTAAGGGCATTAATGCGCCGGAGATTTATGTGGTAACGGCGAGGATGAAATTCCATCGCGGTAGGTGCTCGTATAAGTGGCACGCTGCTCGCTGGCGGAGGCGCGAGAGTTATGGTTGCCCATACTGATATCCACTATAAACTCCCCCGTCGTCCGCCCTCCTCCGCGCGTCCTCCTACGCTCTCTACCACGGCATACTTAATTAAATACGTATTAAGAGCCTGAGTGTGTTCCGATGTACCGATGTGCGCCTGCATCGTGGAATAATATATGCTTCAGCGCGCGCGCGCTAATTACTTTCTCCCACCGAGGTCGCACACCGACAGTTTTACTTTCCCCGTATACAGTGGAATCGCATTTATCGAAACAAAGCGCGCCCCTTTCGCGTAACAAAGAAATTTTTCGATATTACATACGCATCTTTCTTCTTATGAGACCGACGAATTTACTATATATCGATCGTCCTTACAAGAAAATAATCACTTCTTCATTATTCATTAATTATTATGCGTACAAGCACATCGTTAAGTATAATACTTGGAAAAAATCATAATGGTATAATAATGATGAAAGTATAATTGTTCGTGGTCATCTTTCAATTCCGGAAGACTGCTTCTAATCTATTACCAGCAAGATTATTAAACAACTCAAACTTAAGAAGTTTCTCAAACAATGATACTTAGAGAAAATCATTATAATTTTCTCTAATGTATCTCTACGAAAAATATTCCCGTATAGATATCTTCCGCCTGTAAAGCCGACCGAATAAAGGCGCTTGTTGCGCCGAAAAGGACAAGAAGACAGAAGTTTGGAATAGAAGGTCGATCGGCACCTGCTGAGTTAGGGAAGAACAATTACTGTTAATTAAGATAGGCGTGCCGCGCAGGTCACACTTGCCGATCTTATGGCTTTTGACAAAGAATAGGCTGTGCCACGAATTCTATTGCATACGCAAATAGTTGAGAAAATTTCCTTGCATTTGCGTTTTGGTTCGATGATTTTATATTTTGTATAATAAGTGAAGAGCAGAATTTTTTGAATACAATAAAAACGTTAGGCAAAGTTTGTGAAAGAAGGCATCGAAATATCACTGCTCTGCAATATTAATTTAATAATGTATAGCGATTAAGATTTTACTATTGAAATGTTACCAAGGAAAATAAATATATTACTAAACCAGCGTTAATGTTAAACAATGATATGAATTTACATTAGACATTTATTCAATATTTCCTCTAAATCAATCAACTCAAAATCTATTTTATTTTATTGTTGCAGATTTCACCGAAGTACCGGAAGAAAAGAGCCAGAGCCGAGACGCAATAGAGCGCCGCACAGTCGCTCCTCTCTTGTTCGTTTCACCGTTGAAAACCGTCGGTGGGCTCCCTGAGCCCACCCTCTCATCGGTCAAACTGGCGAGCGCGTTAACCGCTGGCATGAACCCCCACCATCCGGGCCACTCCGCAGCCTACCCCCACCATCCTTCGCTCTCGAGCAGTCCGCATCATCCGGGGCCCGGTGGGCCGCATCATGGGTATGGGACCGGTGGAGGTGGCGGAGGTGGCGGTGGCGGCACCACGACCACCCCCGACTTACCCAGCCCGCACTCACCCCAGCATACTGGCGGTGCCGGCGATCCCGCCACCCCCTATGGTGCCCTGCAACCTGGACAGGGCATGGGCAGCAACGGACATCATCATACCGGTGGCGGCATGATGCCGGATCATCCACACCACCCCGGACACCCTCATCCCCACATGCCGGGGCATCCCGCGTACCCGCCGGTTAATCACAACAATAATTGCACGCTCAAGGTGAGTACTGCATTTTTGTATAAAGTTCGATTTTATATAATATATAATTTACGTCTTCGGAACGTTAAATGTCAGTTAATTAATATTTTAAATATTAGTGTCTCGTTGATATTTTTGTATATGTGTTATGTATAAATTAATTACACGCGATCTGAAATTCAATTTCTCGTACGACGAAGTGAAGCGGTACAGGTGATTTCAAAGACGAAGAGTGGTGAAAAATTCCGAAGCCCTCCGACTTTGTCATAAAGAACTCGGGAACGGTATAACATAGGGTCATAGGGTACAATTCGGCAGTATTATCCATCCGTCCGACCCTCACTTACCCCACCATTGACAAACGTAACAATATAGGCATTTATGATGGAGAAATATAATTGAATAGGGGCGGAGGGGCCCGGCGCGGTTCCCTCTTGCAGTTTTCTGCTCGACGCTTTACCTGCCTCATTCCCTTTCTTCCCTTCCCTGCCCTTGCATCACACACAACGTTCTGCCTTTTTCAGAGTATATTGCTTCTCCAACTTTCATTCTTCATTCACCTTTCTGTGTTGACTGTACCCTGTCTTCCGGTTTCCAGCGCCCAAAGACGTGTACATCTGTTGCTCTACTTCGTCAACTGTTTTTCGGCGATTGCTACTCTTTAGAGTTTTTCTTTTTTCAACTACGCCCTTAAAACCCTTTAACATGACATTTTCTTATTTCCTGAATAATTCACCTAATCAAGCTTTCTTTCGTTATTTTTACAGATATAACATATTAATTTGATGTGTTATGACCGCAATTTAAATTATATCTCTGTGAGAAAAATGTATGAAAAACAGGACTTTATTTTATTAACTATGACCGGTCAAGAAGACGACAACATGTAAGCAGAGTGACAATAATGAAAGTTATATATTTTAGAACTTTTTTTTACATATTTTGTGTATCTAGAAACGAATAAATCATACGATATTAATAATATTTCTTTTGAAAATAAAAAAATCAGTATTTTTAGATATGCCTTTATGCCTCTTAAAATTGTGAAATTTTACACGGTCGAATTCTCCAAAATTTACTTTTTTTCTCGCACGATTTGAATAATCAAGCGTCTTGATGCTCAATTCTAATTCATCGAATATTTTGATTCCTGAATGGCTTATCATCGTATTCGTGCATCCTTCGAATTTTTTGGATCTTCGTTCTTTCTCAGTCTCGTTTTCCCCTTAGATTCCACTCGCATTCTGTCACCGTCTTGCTCGAACTCCGTCCTTATTCTCTCGCGTCGCTCTTTAGTTCTCTTTCTCTATTGGGTCTTCTTTATTCGTTATTCCTCCTTTTTTCTTTCTCCTCACTTCTGTGGTCTTTTTAATTTTTTTCTTTCGAGTCCCTTTATGTTTTTCGTATTTGCGTCTTTATACCTCCTTTATGTCTTTCCATTGCTTTGGATTCCCTTTTCACTTCTCTTTTTCTGTCCCTCTGTTTTGTGTCTCTTTCTCACTCCTGAGCTTTAATTTTCTGTCTCTTTCTGTTTCTCCCTCTCCTCCCACTTTGTTTCTTTTTTTTCATGTTACATATATTTTTTTTCTTTCTGTTTCCTTATTTTTTTACTCTTGTATACGTAAATGTATACGTAATGTATCTGAAAATTTGCCACAACTTTCGCTTTACACAACATTGTAAGACTCACGGCACTTAGGAAGCCTGTCCCAGAATATATTCCTCTCTCACCTCTCTCTGTCTCTGTTCCTCTCCGTTTCTCTCTCTTTTTCTTTCTCTCCCTCCTCCCTTCCCATTCTCTTTTCTCAACCGGTGCTATGGAAAAGACCCCTTCCTCTTTCTCCCCCTTCCCAGCCGTCGGGTCTCTCTCTGTCCGGCACACGAATGGGTCCTCCGTTCACCTCCCCTCTCAATCCGCTCTTTTTCCCTTCCCCTCGCCTCGTCGATCCCTCACACTATCTTTATCTCGCCTTCTCTCTCGGCGTCGGTTGGGTCTTTGCTAGACTCGCCTTTTTACATTCTCCCTACCCCGAGACACCAAGGTACCTGAACCCGCGCAGGCCCGCAAGGCATTAAGGGGGCCCGCAGCACCAGCCAGTTGGGTCCCGTCCGTGCTTCGCTTCGTTTCGTTTCTTCTCTCGGTTCCCCTTCTGCATACGTTCCATGCACTGCATTGCGCGAGGATACGCGTCGCCGAAAGTGGCGAGTTTCGCGAAGATCGCTCACAGTCGCCTGCGGTCCTAGGCGCTTCGCGTTTCGATTTCCGTATTACTGTGAAATTCGACGGAGAAGCGAGGACCTCCGGATCCTTGAAATCCCGCAAATCGCGGTAGGGGAAAGTGAGTGTATCGCAACGGGAACTTGTTCGAGGTCGAGTGATATCATTGGCCGAGTGAATCCGGAGTACGGCCCGAGATCGGTTTTACGTCGTTGTCTCTTTTTTTCCTCTTTTCTTTTGCTCCGTTTCTTTTCCTGCATCTTGCTTCGCGGAGAGGGACACACAGTGAAGTGCGTCATGGAGGTCCAATACCCGTATCACTACAACCCGATTACGTCGCGGATGAATAAGTGGTTCTCCGGCAACATCAAGACGGAAGTCAAAGTAAGTGTACGCGCGCGCAATCGCGGAGGATTTTTTTTTCTCTCCTTTTCGCACGGGAAACACGCTTTTCGGAGTCTACGCTCGTCGACACGACGCAACAGCAACAATTAACGCATTCGCTCTCGTATTCCCTGACGCAAGTCGAATAAGTATTGCTGCGCTTGGCGTACCGTGTCCGACTATATATTCGCATAACCGCACGGGCAGACGGTTGTTATTTGAAAGTCATCCTACACCACGGCATTACTACGTCGATAGATATTAAATATGCGAGTGTAACAAATACAAGCGCATACATTAAGTATGTATGTGTATGCAATGCATAAAATTTGTATAAACTTTTAACATAGAAATCTATTAGCTCCAACAACGGCACATCTGATTCGTATTGAAATCGACACTTGTTTTTAATCATTCAACGAATCGTTTCTCTTCATTTTATATGTACATTTGTATAAATAGCACGGATGAAGCAACTATTTTTCTACAAATCCTTTTACTCGACACACAAAAATATATATACATACCATTTTTTAATTTTTTTTAAATAAATGTAATGAAAAGAACTCGTCGAGTACAAAACCAGCGCGATTTTGTTGATTTAAAGATAAACTGAAGTATTTTTAGCAACAATACAGTATTGAGCAACGTTGTACAAAGTGAAATTAGCGAGTAAGTTGTAGGTCCCGCGAGCAAGAGTTACGTTCGCCTACGTGTGTTTGCATAATCACGAGTAAGCATTCATAATAAGCGCGCACTTAAGACGCCGTAATGATTTAGTGCCCGTTAATGACTTTCTGTTTCGCATTAATTACCACGATGCTTGAATTTCTACTTATAATGGGCTAGAAACGATTTCTACTAAGGCGTGTGTGTGGCAACTCTTATGCGCGTCCTCTTAAAAAAAATACGTCCGCCGCCATCGTTTTCTTTACTCGAACTTCGTAACCAACCAATCTCTCGTGCTGTCTCAAGACGAGAAAACGTACTAGTAGTAGTAGCAGAGAGTTAATACAAATTAATTAAACTGCATAATATATTCTTAACTAAGCATAAATTAATGTAAATTATGGTCCGCTATTTATAAATTTAAGATCGCAGTATGTGTATGCTCAATGAGTGACAAAAATGAAAACTTGATATTGCAGCAAGAGGGTGTCCCAAGCGGGTCAGCGGGCCTTCGGCAATGCGCCGCCTGCGGTGTACAAATAGTGGAAAGATGGCTGTTGCTAGCGATGGACCGGTACTGGCACATTGGCTGTCTCAAGTGCTCGTATTGCAGCGTAGTATTGGGAGAGATCGGCGGGTCCTGCTACACCAAAGGCGGCATGATTCTCTGCAAAACCGACTACAGACGGTGAGTCGTGTGGTTAATTTCTGTTAAAACGGGCGTACCGAATCCACCGATCAACGGGACAATAGCCGTAGAATTTATTTAAAAAAAAAAAAATAGAGAAAAATAATGACAAAGATCCTTTTCCGGTAAATGTGAGGAACGTTGTCGATATTTGGACTTCTTCGCGTGTATCGCCGCTTATCGCGTCAAAAAGTTGATAGTCGATGGTCACTCATGAATAAACTGAAAATTATCGCTTCCATTAAATTAGGTACTCCGTCGCGCAACATGGGACGTCGGATATTCCGGCTTTGTGCCGACGCAGGCGCGACTCCGCGCGGCCGACAGAGAGAATCGGCGCCGTCTAATTTCTTGAAACTAATAACAACGCCCGACGCTTCGTTATTAATAATAAATACTGTTATTGTGCGCGGCCATTATGGCTAATTTATCGTGGTACTTGCCGCGCGTTCGTTTATACCGTACCGGGATTCCTGGGAGCCAATATCGTGTAATCAACATTCCTCTCGTGCAAAATAGCCGCGAAACTAGGAAGTTGCCGTTTTACGTCATATCTCGTAATCATATTTGCCTTCTTTTTTTTATCAATAGCTATGGCAATTATTCACCGTAATGTTAAAATATATCGCACAACATGCCACTACTGTGATGTCTAAATATATCTCAAAATCTAGGACTTGCCGATTCAGATAGAATTAAAATCCGAAGAAGAATCGAAATATAGGAAATATGAAAATATGTGAGTGAATGTGAGGAATGAAAAATTGTACCGATGCATGAGTAAGACAAATAGTAGTAATATAATAGGAAAGAAATACTAATTGCCTCGTGTGCATTTATCCAGACGAGTCGTCTCTGTTTGAAAGAATGGAAAACGTATTTTAGATGTCTTTACGATATTTCCTCGCGTTGTCTCTCCCAGTATAATATTGCCACATTGTACTCGACACACAGCACGCACGTCTCTCTCTCTCTCTCTCTCTCTCTCTCTCTCTCTCTCTCTCTCTCTCTCTCTCTCTCTCTCTCTCTCTCTCTCTCTCTCTCTCTCTTTCTCTCTCTACTGATCGTTTATCGATGAATGGCTCGAGACTTCGGAATTGCCGCGCCGTGATGAATATGCACCTAATCGGCGTGGCCGTTCCAAATTTAGATGATTCGAGGTCAGAGCGCAATTTAATGAGAAACAGACGCTGAACTTAGTTAGTTCCCCCGAAATAGATCGGCACAACCTGGCCCGGCCGCGCACGTACCGGAGGTAATGGAACTGTCAGTCCTTTTTTTACTCAACTAACCGGTTATATCCGCACGAGGAGTGACATTTCTTGCATTTCACGCTGAAGTTAAGCGCGTTCGGTCGTTCGTGTTTCTACGTTTCATCATAATACCGCCGCTAAAATATTATTATGCAACACGGAGACGCGAGAGGCAAGAGGGGAGGACATTGATAGGTACGAGCAGATATTTTTGTTATCGATCGCGTCGATCGGTATGCTAACGTTGGTATTTCAATTTCGTCGGTCCTTTCCTTATCGCGCGATTGCTATTACTCAACCGTGGTGCACGTACGTCCTAATCTGTTGGCATAGTCGAGCGATTTAGTCCGGCCTAGTATCAATATTTGACTACGAGACGTCCCCATCCTCGGTATGGGTCTAACATCGCCCGTCCCGGCGCCCACCGGCTTGCTTTCGTCGAAAAATGAGACGCGATAAACTGTTTGAGAGTATTCGTCTCTTAAAAACTAATTTCATGGAAGAGAATATATTATCACACACAGAAAGAGGTGTAAATCATAAGGATAAAACAGTTGAAGGATTTAAGAATATATAACGAAGATCAAACAACATTGGATATACTTTCTTATTTTTCGAAATAAAAAAAACACATTTAACAGATGAATCCGAATCGATGCACTTGAGAAATTATATCATTAGAAGAGACTATATCAGACCTCGCGTATGACTCTTCGCTTGGGGCAACAATAGCGCATTCTTACGGAACACTCAATGCATCATATCACGCTAAGCGCTTTATACTCGGCGCGGCTTTACAATCAAACTACTGTCGGAATTGAAACCAACCGGTTGTCTCGAAACACCATCGGGTGTCTCCTGCGCGGGAGCGAGCAGCGTCTGCTGCAACCGCCTCGTCGAAAAGAGAACGACGGATATATCCGCGCGGGCCGAGTGGATAGACAGATGGATGGAGAGGATAGCGAGCGCGGTGCGACTCGGAAAGATAGCGGGGAGGTTGGAGAGGCGAGAGAGAAGGGATGGCGGTTCGTTTCTTTTGGATTCAAGGAATGTTTCAATCAGTTTGATTGAAGGGCTGAGCCACGGCAAGAGGGTAAACTCGATTTACAGCCGTGTAGGAGGGATGGCGCGGTGGACGGAACGGAAGGAGAGAGAGAGAGTGGGAGAGAGAGAGTGAGTGAGTGAGAGAGGGAGGAAGAGAGAGAAAGAGAGAGAGGGAGAAAAGGGGGTGCAGAGGGGTGGACGGTGGGTGCCACAATCACCGAGATGCGTCCAATCACCCCCAGCCCCCGACGCCATCGGGTTTCGGGCGTACGGACGAGGGGCTGAAGGGATCGAGGAAAAGGGGAATGATGGAGAGAGAGAGAGAGAGAGAGAGAGAGAATGTGTGTGCGGCCAATCATCGCTCGGCTTTCCGCTGGAGCGACATCGTCGTGATGCTGGTTTGTCCTAGATGTGCAATCAGACGGCTTCCAGTCCTCTAGCTTGCTCCGATGGCTCCTTCTCCCTCCATCTTTCTGGCCGAATACCAAATTCCAGCAATTTGGTAGGTAGGTACTTTGTTGAATCAACATGATTGGGCTTGACGGAGACCGGCGACGCGCCGTGCCGCGTAGCGCGGCGCAGCGCCGCGACGAGCGACGGCGACGAGCCGACGAGCCGAGGACGAGCCGGGAGACGGATAGACTGGCTCCGGCACTCTCGCAACCCTTTCTAGAACGGACAACATTTCGTTGATGATCTTAAGATTGTCCACTTTTGCTTTCGATCCAATTGCCAATTTAATCTAGTCCGAAATGTACTAACATGATAGGAAAATTAATAATATTACGAATTAATGTAGTCATTATTACTTTGGATTAATATGTAAATACATATATATATAATACATAAGGTTCTTTAAATCTAAGAAAAAATGTAAACGCAATTTAAAGTGAAGAAAGAAAATAATAGAGTGACGAAACTGTGATGAAACATATATTTCATTCACATCGATAATAATGGCAATATAACATTAGAGCGACGAGAGTATTAGTATGGCGATAATAGTAACAACGACGATAACAGAGAAAGAGACTGCCAATCGCGTTCGCGCGGAAGAGAACACGGCGTATTTTCCGCGCTCGATTCAGCCCGCATCGCGTCGAGGGAGGCACGTACGTAGACGGTAGGTCGCCGGAGGTGCTGAGGGAAACGAAGAAGAGGGTGGGAGCGGGGCACGGAGGGGTGGCACCGGGCGATAAGGGGTTCATTAGAGGCAGTTTATTACTGCCTTTGAAGTCTCTCGCGTGTTGCCGTTAAGTCGCTCGATATCTCGTAATATCTCGCTCTAATCTCGCGAGGAGAAGTTAATTGCTACCTTCACCCCCCCGCCACCTTCTCACCTCCGTCCGACCTACGCGCGCCCCCATCGCGCTCGCCGCACCACTTCCCGCCGCCACCCCGCCGGCGGTTCCCTCGCACATGTCGCCTTTACAATTAGACGCTTAATTCGGGCCACCACCGGGCTGAAATTTTCACTACCCCACCTGCCCGGCCCCCTGGCCACCCCCTCGGTCCGCCGCCACCCGCTTCGACCGCGGCTCGAGTCGGGAATTTCCTGCCCTTGGTCAGCAGCCGCCGTGTCGCTTCTCAAACTTGGTAATTTCTGAGTTCGATGACCGTTCGATAAACGGTCGCGCTTGGTACTCCAAAAGTGCGTGACTCCGTAGATCGTGAGACGAATAGAAGGCGCAACAAATTGCTTTGAGAAGCGTTCCATCTTTCGATTCAAATATACATCTAACAAATTCCTATAAATTCATAGAATTATCTAACACACGGCATCCAGTCATTAGAAAGCCACGTTAAATTTTATTTCTGATGTACTTTAGAATGCACATTTGAGAGGTATCGCATACATATATCACATACGTATATTTACAAAACTCCTCGGAGAGATCAGATAATGTCGCAGGTTCGAGCGGTACGTTAATGCGAGCCGGAATCGCGTGTCGACGCGCCTTTTGTAGGACGCACTAAAGCTTGCACGTATACGCGTGAACATGCGGGGGAGTGCGCGTAGCCGTGGCACCGATTCGTAATTATTGTAATTTTCGCCAGTAGGAAAGTTTTCTACGACGATGACGAGAACAGTTTTCATGGCCGAGACGCCGCGTTTAACGAGTGGACGGCGAGATTGCTGGCGGAAAGAAAGAAGGCGGTCGTGACGACGATTATCGTGGTAATATTCAAAGCGATTAGTTTGTAAGTTATTACCATAGACCGCGGTCGCGATAGCGTACGACAGACCGATTGAACGCGGCCATCCTCACTCTCGACTAACAATATCACTCTAACGGCTCTGAGGCACATTTCAATAATTCGCATTTATATCTTTCTGCGATCGATATTATTATTATTATTATCCGAGAAGTAATATGCATATATTGAAGTAATTTAGATGACTCAAGCTTCGAGCTCTGAAATTTTTTTCGAGAAAGCACGAGCTTATATTGGCGGAAAGACGTTGTGTCCAACCAACCGGAACCTTACATTAAGATTGTACGCAAACAGTCGAAGATATTTGAGCGACAGTTTAATCGAAGCATAATTCGGCCATTAAATCAATACCGTTCGTTACAATCCCGACAAGATTACGCGAGGAGAGGCGCGGAAGGGGTGAAAGGGGAGGAGGGAGGGGGGGAGCGGATATGGGCGAGGGGAGGGAGGGCGAATAGCCGCGGCAAATAGAGAGGAATTAATCCG